GAGTACATCATGAGAAATGCTGGGCTGGATGAAACACAAGCTGGATCAAGATTGCCAGGAGAAATATTAATAACCTCAGACACACAGATGACCCACCCTTATGTCAGAAAGCAAAGAAGAAATAAAGAGCCTCTTGATGAAAGTGAAAGAGGAGAGGGAAAAAGTTGCCTTAAAACTCAACATTCAGAAAACTAAGATCATGGCATCTGGTCCTATCACTTCATGGCAAATGGATGGGGAAACAATGGAAACAGTGACAGACTTTATTTTCTTGGTCTACAAAACCACTGAAGATGGTGATTGCAGCCATGAAATTAAAAGACACTTGCTCCTTGGAAGAAAATCTATGACCAAAGTAGACAGCATATTAAAAAGCAGAGACATTACTTTGCCAACAAAGGTCCATCTAGTCAAGGCCATGGTATTTCCAGTAGTCATGTGTGGATATGAGAGTTGGACTATACAGAAAGCTGAGTGCCGAAGAACTTTTGCTTTTGGACAGTGGTGCTGGAGAAGACTCTTGAGAATTCCTTGGACTGCAAGGAGATCCAACCAGTCCATCATAAAGGAAATCAGTCCTGAAGATTCATTGGAAGGACTGATGTTGAAGCTGAAACTCCAATACCTTGACCACTTCATGTGAAGAGCTGACTCATTTGAAAAGACCGTGATGCTGGGAAAGATTGAAGGCGGGAAGAGAAGAGGATGACAGAGGATGAGATGGTTGGATGGCATCACCAACTTGATGAACATGAGTTTAGATAAACTCCAGGAGTTGGTGTGAAGGATGGGGAAGCCTGGCATGCTGCAGTCCATGGGGTCGCAAACAGTTGGACATGACTGAGAGACTGACCTGAACTCTTTTTTCTTAATTTTGAAGTTAAGGGGAGTTTTTGAAAGGCAGGGGACATTTTTTTTTTACTGCAAACTGAAATCATTAAAGGAAAACTGGGCAAAAAAAGAAAATTTGAAGATGTAGAGAAATAGAAGACAACATTTCCCTAATTCAATTAATGTCACAATTAACTTTTGAGTCATGTTTGACATGTACCTTCTGCAATGAAAAATATCTTTGTCCATTTACAGTCTACTATCTCTTTTTAAAACCGAAGTATGTTTTTGCACCCCATGTTCATTGCAGCACTTTACAATGTCAAAGGCATGGAAGCCATGCAAACGTCCATCGACAGATGAATGGATGAAGAAGATGTGGTATATATATACAATGGAATATTACTCAGCCAGGAAAAGAGCAGAATAATGCCGTTTGCAGCAACATGAATGGTTCTGGAGGCGATCACGCAGCGCCTGACAGCAGCTGCAGCCCATTCGAGGAGGGAGGGGAGTCAAAGGCATACTGCGTGTGGAATCCCAAAAATGAACTTACCGACAAAGCAGAAACAGACCCACAGACGTAGAAAAGGAATGCACGGCTACCAAAGGCGAAAGGGGAGGAGGGATCCCGGCGCCTGCACAACCTCGTCATCGTTCCCTGTCCTTGTCATCGTGATGACTCGCGAGCCTAAGCGCTGGTTCTCCCACTCGGTGTCGGTTCCGAGCCTAAGCGCTGGTTCTCCCACTCGGTGTCGGTTCCGAGCCTAAGCGCTGGTTCTCCCACTCGGTGTCGGTTCCGAGCCTAAGCGCTGGTTCTCCCACTCGGTGTCAGTTCCGAGCCTAAGCGCTGGTTCTCCCACTCGGTGTCGGTTCCGAGCCTAAGCGCTGGTTCTCCCACTCGGTGTCAGTTCCGAGCCTAAGCGCTGGTTCTCCCACTCGGTGTCAGTTCCGAGCCTAAGCGCTGGTTCTCCCACTTGTATCAGTTCCGAGCCTAAGCGCTGGTTCTCCCACTCGGTGTCAGTTCCGAGCCTAAGCGCTGGTTCTCCCACTCGGTGTCAGTTCCGAGCCTAAGCGCTGGTTCTCCCACTTGGTATTAATTCTGAGCACCTGGCTGTATGCGCCTCAACTGTGTGGGCATCTTCCCTTCTGAACAGCTTGTGGGGCCTTTTGTCTGTAATTTCAAATGGACTGTCTTTTCATACAGACGTGCAGGCTTCCTTCGAATGGTGTGAGTCTGTTCCCTTCATCCTGAGTGGACTGAAAATCTGTCTAGAGCTTGTGGGAGATGGTTCACATTTTTAATGAGAGGAACCGAGTTCTTTTTAAAAAATAAAGTCCAGTTTATCAACTACACAGAAACTTGCATGATCACGTTACCTACAAAAATAAAGATATTTTTACTTCATTTATTTCAATTTCTATGTATCTTTTTCTTTTCTTTCTCTGTTGAGGATTTCCAGGACACAGAATTTTAGTGTTCTGTTTAAGAAACTGTTGCCTACCAAAGGTCATAACAATATCCTGTAAGTTTTCTTCTGAAAAATTGATAGATTTTGCTTTTATGTTTAGGAAATCGGTCCTTTATATCAACAGTGTGAGGTAGAAACAAGATTCGTCCTCTTCAAAGGGATCAAATCCTGTAAAACAAAGATGTTCGCTTCTTCCGTGGTGTCCTGCGGTTTGTCAGCGTCAGGGGACCCACCGGTGTCATCTGTCGGCCCCTTAGTCCTGGTTGCCCACACTGCCTGGTGTCCACAGCACAGCCGTTTTACGGAAAGTCCTGGAGTTTGGGGGGTCTGCCCCCAGAGGTGGTCTTTGCCCCTCTGTATCCTTTGATCGTCTCTATCAATTTTAACATCAGTTTGTACATTTTGATAAGAAATGACAATAGAAGGTGAGATGGACTTGGAATGAATCTACAGTTCAATGCAAGGTGGCCTGGCAACATGGAGTCTCCCCTTCACGAGCACACTTCATCCCCATGTGCTCAGACCCTCTCTAATTCCTCTCAGCCACATTTCGTGGTTTTCAATGCAGATGTCATGTACATCTGTCATCAAGTATTCGATTTGCTGGTGCTGTTATAAATGGTGTTTTAAAAATTCAGTGCTTAATTACTTGTTACTATCATATGGAAATATTATATGCACTTTGCTAAATTTACTAGTTAATTCTAACGATTTGTTTGTAGATTCCTTTAGTTTCTTCTTGTACATAATCATGTTATTGACAAATAAAGATGTTTGCATTTCCTTATTTTCAATTTCTATGTATTTCGTTCTTTTACTCGCACTGTTGAGGATCTCCAGGACAATGTTTAGTATTATTATTATTATTATGTTATTTTAGATTTATTTTATTGAAGTGTGGTTGACTTACAATGTTGTGCTCATCTCTACTCTAAAGCAACGACTTGTGGAAACTCACGACTCAGTTACTCATGAACATACACTCTCTCTCCTGTTCTTTCTCATCACGCAGGACGTTGAATATATTCATAGCTCCCTGCACTCTGCAGTAGTGCCTCGTCCTTCGCTAGCCTGTATGTAACAGGACAGCATCTAAACGTAAGTGGTGATGGTGGAACATTGATTCTCATGCCTGATTTGAGGGGGAAATCGTTCGTGTTTGACCAGCAAGTGGGCTTCCCTGGGGGCTCAGTTGGTGAAGAATCCGCCTGCAATACAGGAGACCCTGGTTCGATTCCTGGGTCAGGAAGATTCCCTGGAGAAGGGATAGGCTACCTACTCCAGGATTCTTGGGCTTCCCCTGTGGCTCAGCTGGTAAAGAATCTGCCCGCAATGCGGGAGACCTGGCTTTGATCTCTGGGTTGGGAAGATCCCCTGGAGAGGGGAACGGCTAACCACTCCAGTATTCTGGCCTAGAGAATTCCATGGACTGTATAATCTGTGGGGTCACAAAGAGTTGGACATGACTGAGCGACTTTCACTTTCATTTTCATAATCTCTGCAGCTGACTTTTTAGTAGCTGCGGTTTGTGATATTAAAGAAGTTCTCTTTCTAGTTTGTTCCTAATTTGTCATATATAGACTGAATTTCACCGAGCAAGTTTTTATGAAATACTAGCACAGTCTTTTGGAGAAGGAAATGGCAACCCACTCCAGTACTCTTGCCTGGAGAATCTCATGGAGGAAGGAGCCTGGTAGGCTACAGTCCACGGGGTCGCAAAGAGTCGGACACGACTGAGCTACTTCACTTTCACTTTCACTTTTCAGTACCATCTTTGGTTTTCTTTTTTATTCTGTTAAGGTAGTGAATTACATGGGTTGATTTTTTAAAATATTAAACCAATCTTTCATTCCTGGGATAAACTTAACTTGGTCGAAATATATGATCCTTTAAATGTCCCTGATCTTGAGAACTTTGTCTCCCACCTTATCACTTTCCACAGGCGTGAGCCACAGCTTTGTTCAGCTGTAAGGATGGGAAATGGGTGTTCTCCCTTCTACACGATGGGGGAAAGGGGAGGACTTTGTCCCACCAAGACCCACAGGAGAGAATCCCATCAGAGTTACAGATATTGGAAGCAAAAGTCAAATAAAAGATAAGTGTCCTCTCCCTGAGAAACAGAATCAAGTGTTTACACCACATCACCTTTCTATATTTTGTGGATATTTAGGTTATTTCAATTTTTATACTTTAAATAGAGCTTTGGCTCTAGAGTTATAACCTTAGTATTTATTACTGGGGTAAAATGACTCAGGCAAAAGGTATGAATGTTCTAGAACTTTACCATGACACTTCCCCACCAAGCATGATGTGAAGTGGCCACCTGCCTATCATCAGACCCGCACGGGGTGCTTATGCCCGTGAACACCTGCGCCCACAGGCAAGACACAGAAGCAGAAGCCCCTCTCTGCCCTGAGGCCGCGTTTCCTGTCCAAGCGACCACTGCCACGAGCTGGTTGACGCGTTGCCTTTCTTCTGGACAATGCTCTCATCTGCATGTGATTATCAACCCCTGCCCAGATTCTCCATGGATGGAACACTTGGCCTATTTTTCGGCTTTTACTGGTGATCTTCATTTCATATATAGATTGCATTTTACTTTTTTGTGTCTTCAATTCTCATTTCCCAGATCCCGGCTCAGTGGAGGAAGCAAAGCATGAGTGTCGTGAGTGGCCCAGCAGCGCCCCAGGAACACACGTGAAAACGCCCAGGTCGGGGAGGTTTTCTTGCAGGAGCAGGGGGAGCTGAGGCTGGATGGCCGGGCACACGGGCGTGAAGACAGGAGGAGCCAGGCCATCAGCAGGCGAGCAGCACCTGAGCGAAGGTGCAAAGGCCAGGACGGGGCGTTTGGGCATCTCACGCCTGCGGGCTGTGGCTGGAGGGGTCACGGAGGGTCCCCTGGGGATGAAGAAATACACGTTTCCATGTTAGAAAGTCACTGAGGAGGTGAAACACGAGGGATGGAGACCAGTGGGGCGCTGGTGTGGGCAGAGTCATGTGGATCACGACCACCACCAGGGAGGGATGATCAAGTTGAGGAGCAGTTGGGAGGCAAAATTGGCAGGACCAGGGGAGGAAGGGAGCCTATTTAATCAGCTTCTGGTCCGAGCAGCAGGGAGACAGTGGTTCCGTCCTCCAAGGCAGACTGCTTGCAAAGGGTCAAGCTTTTGCTCTGTCCCAGAGGAGGGGGAAGCTGGCTTGGGCCAGCGTAAGCATGGAGATGGGGAGGAGTCACTGTTATTGGGAGGCGTGAAGGAGGCGAAACAGAGGAGACTCACTGATCGATGGGGTTGGGGAGCAACGCAGCGTCAGGATGCTGACACGGTTGCCAGACAGAGGGATGAATGGCATCATGGAAATACCCGCAAGACGGAAGAGCCCCCCAAGATCCCTCATGTTGTCTCAGATGATGGTTTAGTTCTTGGCTCATGACCTAGAGTGAGCATCATGTCAGGGATGGTCCCATGGCCCGCAAGCAGGTCCCGAGTGCCACCGAGACTTGGGAGTAGGGTCTGCATCCCCGAGGGGCTGCCCCTGGGGCTCAGATGCACTGTGAGTGTGCGCTGGCGTGTTCTGGCGTCAGAGCATGGACCGCGGGTTCTGCAAGCACCTGCCTGTCCTCTGCGTCTGCTGTTTGTGGTTCCAGAGGCGAGGCTGCAGGACCGGAGCAGCTGGAGAGGGTCTGCGCTGATGGGAAGGCACACGCAGCCATCAGCAAACAGCAAAGTCGCATGGCTTCTTCCCACGGTGTCCCTGTAAACAAGTTTTTCAAGAGGACAGAAGCACCCAGACCGGCATGGTAGGCTCCCCTCTTGCGGAGATGACTTGCGTCTGACAAACACTTGAGCTGAGAAGTGTCTTCATCTCCATCTGAGAAGCGTCAGCCTGGCTGGATGGGCTGTGGTGGGGGGTGGGGTGGGCGCATCTGTGCCAAGAAAATGGTTCCGTGTAATCCGAGGCATAACAGGGGTGTTGATGATACATCTTCTCCTGTCAAGTCACGGTCTTGGTGCTATTTTTGAAGGAAGCTGAAGAATTAAAGAAAAACCTGAAAGGAAATTCTGAAAGATAACAAAATTGGACTCAAATCAAAGTCTCTCTGAGGCTGGGAAGTTAATTATATCATCTGAGTTGTGTAGTCGGCAGAGACCAAGAAGGTAAAGTCTGTTTTCCCTTCCAGAACGGATCTCAGGCAGCCAACTCAACTGGGACTACTGGTACAGGATAATAGTTCTTTTTTTTCTTGACAAAACTGGGCAAATTAAACAAAAGAAATGTATGGAATCTCATGACTCCTTGCAGACACTTCTTGCTGCCAAAATGAGTCTGATCATGGCCCCTGCCCTCGGGGATCACGCGTCCCTGAGATTGAGACACGAGGTCTAGGCCGTCCACTCTCAGGGGCTCTGAGATGTAGCAGCCCAGAATCAGAGGCACCAAGGGCAGCGGAGTCAAGAGGGCCTTCCTGGAGGAGGTGTCCCCAGAGTCAGCATGGGGGCAGAGGGCACTGGAGGGCCCAGAGGGAGGTGAGGCAAAGTGGGGACCGCATAACGCGATGAAGTGGCCCCTCGCCTGCTCCCTGCAGGGCATCGCAGAGACAGGGGAAGTTGTTCTGGGTCCGTGATGGGGAACGGGGTCAGCATCTAGGCACGTGCGGCCAGGTTCTGGGAGCTGCGCTGTGGCCCCAGGCCTGAGCGGTGCCTGTGGTCGACTGGTCAAGCCCCTGACCACCCCTCTCCAGCGGCGGTCCACTGGTGCGCTGAGAGGCTGCAGGAGACCCTCACCAACCCTGAGGCCAGTCACTGCCTCCGGACCTGCATCCCGGGGGCTGGACTAGACGGGGCACCAGGGGACGGGGTGGGAGGCGGGGTCTGGGCCCAGGGCTCTGCAGGCCTCCCTGAAGCCCAGCCTGGGGCGCACCCCCACCTGCGGGGAGCTCTGGGGGCCAGGTGCTGCCTGGGGCCTCAGCCAGCAAGAGCTTATTGGCCATTTGCCTCTTGCTCATTTATACCTGTGTGCTTGTGTGTGCACACACATGTATACACACACACCCCCCAACACACACGTGTATATACACACACCTAATACAACACACACATGTAGGCACACACACACATACAAACATACCTAACACACATGTATACACACACACCCCCCAACACACACGTGTATATACACACACCTAATACAACACACACATGTAGGCACACACACGTATACAAACATACCTAACACACATGTATACACACCTAAGACAACACACATGTGTGCACACATGGTATACACACCTAACACACATGTACACACACATGCCTAATACAACACACACGAATGCACACATGTGTATACACACATACCTAACACACATGTACACACATACCTAATGCAATACACACATGTATGCACACATATGTGCGTGCACACATAACACATGCTCATGCATGGCATGCATAAGTACACACACACACATATACACACCTATAGATATACACATAGATACAAATATAGATACACACATAACACACACATATAAGCACAAATACATAAACACAAACATGCACAAATATACACATGCACACACATAACACACACACATATAACGCACACATGTACACACATATACACATGCATAAACACACATATAGATACACACACAGTATGCATGCATACACACACATAATCACACATAAGACAGACACATGCACACCCATAAAACACATATATAACATATACACACATGCACACATACATAAACACATACATACATATGCATACATACAGATACACAGATATATAAAAATATACACATAACATACATATAAACGCATACAAATGCATAAACACCACATACGCACAAATATACACAAACACACACACATACACACATGTAGATACACACACATATAAATACACACATAACACATAAACACAAATGCATAAATACACACATGCACAAATACACACATACAGATACATAACATATGAACACAGAGAGATACATAACATACACACATACACACATATAGATACACACATAAACCCATAAACACATACAGATACATAACACACATATATGTACACATACATAACACAGACACACACATAATACACACATATAGCATATATACACATGCACACATACATAACACACATAAATGCTACACAAATAACACACATATACACACATACATAAACACACATATACACATACACGCACGTACTGAGCTGCCAGATTGCGTACAAACTGTGAGTGTGAAAGCTCATATACACGTCTATCTCTCCCTCTACCCACTCGCGCTACCCAGCCCTCCTTCTTACCTCCCATCCGCCCACCGTCCTTCCGCTCACCCGCCGTCCACGCCTGTCTCCCTGTCTGTGGTCCTGCTGCAGCCAGGAAAGACAGCGGGAGGGCTGCGGGAGCTGGGGTCTCCCCTGAGCCCTCCAGGCCTCGGGCCCCGAGTGCACGTCTCACCCGCGGCCTCTCCTCCCTCTCTTGCTCTCTCTGCCCTGACGGTTACCGTCACAGGTCGCACCCGCCTGCTTGTCCACAGCTGACCTGGGAGGGCCTGGCCCCCATGCTGACACAGCGCCGGCCGGCAAGGGGGGCGGGGGGCGCTCAGACAGGCCTGCTGGGTGCAGGGCTGGGGGACACATGGATGGCGGAGGCCCTTCCCACCGCCTCCTTCCACCGCCCCCTGAGCGTCGAGGCTCAGCATCCCAGCTGTGCCAGAGCTCTGGGCCCAGCGCCCCCAGGCACGACCCCCGCCTCCTGGAGAGGGTCCCCAGCCCCCTCGACCTGGGGAGCCCGAGGAGCCCGACTCAGAGGCTGAGGATGGGTTTCTGTGTGTCCACTGTAACAGTCTGGACAGGAGAGAGGAGTTTAAGAAACAAGGGGCTGAAGTGACCCCACTGTGAACAGATTTGTTTTCATGGATAAAACTTAGATGCGAAGGTTCTCAGAGCTAGAAGTGGCTTTGGACTTAATCGCCACACGGGCTCATTGTGCCCACGAAAGGCAGTGGTCCCTGGATCCAAGGGGGTGAGCGGGGCCCGTGAGGCGCTCCCGACGCTGATGCTTTGGCCCGCGCGCCCCACGCTTCCTGCTGGCTCCTCGGCGGCAGTGTGGACACGCGGCCCTGAGGCATGGTCGTCAGGCCCCCGTGAGGCCCGCGGGGATGGAGACTTGCGGTTGGGAAGGGGCGAGTTCCACCCCCAATGCCCCTCCTGGGGGAGCCGCCGGGGCTCACTCTGTGCCCCAGCAAGGGGGGACATGGGGGGTACCTGGGGTCCAGCCTACCTTCCTCATCTCCCTCTGGACTCTGGCCACTGCTGGGCTCACCCAGAACCTCCTCCAGGATGGGGTCCCTCCACCATGAGGGGCTGCAGGGCAGGGTCGTGGGTCCCAGGTGAGCCTGCCTCGGGCTGGGACTCAGGGTCTCCAGGTAGCTGGGGAGAGGGCAGCCGTGGGAGGGGCGGTGGGTGGGGACACTGTGGAGACCAGATCACCTGTCCAGGTGGGCCTGGGTGCAGAGACGTCACTTGCCCGGGAGGCTGCCCCCCGCCCCAGGCTGGGATCCTGCAGCAGGCAGAAACCCTGGAACCTTCTCTCCCTGGAATGAGGGCGAGTCTGTGTCTCCCCTCCCAGATCACCAACACCTGCCTCAGGAGAGCTTGGGGGCACGTCTTCCACGGGCCCTCCCCTGGGCTAGACCCAGCGTCACCCCACGGCCAGCTCACACACTCATTCATTCATTCTGCCGAATCTGCCTTCAGTCAACGCAGAACGTATTGGCGGGGCTGGGGTAGGGGTCCGGTCAGGGCAGCCTGTATCTGAACACCCCGGTCTGTGCCGGGGGCTGGGAGCCAACAGTGGAGACACACTCTGCCCAGCAGGATGTGCTGCAGGGCGCCCCGCGCTCTGTAGATTCACAGCCTCACCAGCATGTGAGAGGCGCACGCTGGCCCTAGGCCTGGTCTCCAGTGGGATAGACAGAGTCCAGGGGAGCAGATGGGCTGCTTCAGGCCCAGGTTGTTGAGGGGGGTTGGGGGTTGCGGGGAGGCCGGCGCGCCGTGAGGAAGGCTCTGAGAGCGCCAGGCTGGTGAGCCCTCGGCCCGCAGAGATCCAGCCCTCGGCCCGCAGAGATCCTGCCCTCGGCCCCGGGGAGCCCAGGACGCAGCCTCTCTGCTGTTTCGGGGAACCCCCATCTCTGGCGGCACCCCTCCCAGCGCCCCATCCACACAGGATCTGCAGTCGTGGCTGGGCCGGGAGAGAAGGGTCCGGGGGGAGTGGGGGGCAGAAAGGGGGGCTGGGGTGGGGGCAGAACGTTAGGGCGAGAGCGAGGGCAGTCCTGGCAGGAAGGGGGTGAGGCGGGAGGGGTGACGGGCCGTTCGCGCAGCGTGGGCTCGGCCCGGGGGCTGCAGGCTGGGAAGACGCTGGCGACGGGGCGCAGGGGGTCTGGGGCAGGCGCGCACGGCCCCCTCCCTGCCCCTGCCTCCTGCCCATCCCCTTGCCCCCTCGGCCAGGACGGCCCCTTCCACTGCTCCGGGACGGAGCAGAAGCAGGGCGGAAGGTTTCCCAGGGCTGAGCACCCCCCTCCCCGACAGCTTCTGCAGGTGGGCAGACAGACCCTCCATTGCCTCCGAGGGGATGGAGGAGCTGGGAAGACAGATGGAGCTGGAACAAAAAGACAGTGAGAGCACTCGGGGGTCAAGTGCACTAGGAAAGCACCTTTCTAGAAACGCAAAGCAAGGTTTTCTTACTAACAGCCCATCAGAAAGACAGCAGGGCCCCGTGGAGCCTCGCGGGTTGTCTTAGGAGACACCATGGAGGAAACAGTGAAAAAGCTAGGAAGAAAGTCTCAGGTGCAAAATCTGACTCCGATTTAGGAGACCAAACAGTCAGGTGGTAAGAGGTTCCAGGGGAGGAGCAGTCAGTAATTAAATAAGAGGCAATACCTCCGCCGACGAGGAGCTGGGCTGGCTGGCTCATTCTCACTGAGTCCCAAGTGGGACTCTGAAGAAAGGGTAAACACTTGTACGTGTTCTGGAAAAGTTCCTGGAATCTGAGGATAAATGGAGCATCTCAGAGGCTCACAGAAAACCCGGGCTGAGTGGGGGCAGGGGCCGCAGAGTCATAGCTGACTGACAGGGAGTGACGTCTACACCCCCTACAGACAGATCCCCAGGAACTGCAAGGGCCCCATGCGGAGGGGGGACGGGGGAGGGGAAATGGGAGAAAGGACTCCAGCCCGAAGCACTGAATTGGGGTGAAGGCCCCACAGAGATAATAATTACAAGTAAAATAATTACAAGATAATAACTACATGCTCAGTCGTGTCCAGCTCTTTGCAACCCCATGGACTGCAGCACGCAGTCCTCCCTGTCCTTCTCCATCTCCCGGAGTTTGCTCAAATTCATGTCCATTGAGTCGGTGATGCCATCCAACCATCTCGTCCTCTGTCACGCCTTCTCCTGCCTTCAATCTTTCCCAGCATCAGGGTCTTTTCCAAGTCGGCTCTTTACATCAGGTGGGCAAAGTATTGGAGCTTCAGCTTCAGCATCAGTCCTTCTAATGAACATTCAGGACTAATTTCCTTTAGGAGGGACTGGTTGGATCTCCTTGCAGTCCAAGGGACTCTTAAGAGTCTTCCAAGACCACAGTTTGAAAGCATCAGTTATAAGCATAACAAATTATAATTTTCATTTTATTCAATTATTGTATTAGTTACAAATATCATTATTTAATTACTACAATAAGGAAAAGCACAGAAGAAACCAGGATTATCAATAAAGATGAAGAAAGGGGAAAAATCAAGTCTGTCCTGTGTTTATGTTAAATGTTAGTAGACTGAACTCTCCTCTGAAAAAGTCAGGGGAAAACAGGAACCCAAACCAAAAACTAGTGACCTGCAGTTTGCATGAAACATATTCAAGGAAAACCAATGCTGAACAGAAATTCCTGGTAAATACAAATGTAAAAAAAAATCAGACATCCATATTAATATCCATGTGCTGTGTGGAATTTTTAGAGTTTGAGATAAAAAGTAGTAAACAGTCACAGACATATTATGAGATTTAATTATAAGAAGTGCAATTTCTGAATAAATTTTAAGTCTCAAACTCCTATGTATCAAAAACTCTGCAGCAGCAAAATAAATAAATACAGCAGAAAATGATTACAGATAAGAGATCTGAATAAAGGAGCCTGTGAGTAAGAAATTCCATCTTTTCAAAACTGAGTACACATCTTGGATGAAGACTAAAACAGACCAAAAATTGAATTACACCATAAATTAACTGAATTCAGCAGATATATACTGAAGCTTTTTTAACAGCCTGCTTTTTCATGTTTGGGGATTATCTTGAAAATCAATCATATATTTCACAGCCGATGTCGGGAAGTGTACAAGTTGTGATGTCACAGGCCTTTTGTCCAGTCCTAAACCAGTGGGATTAAAATCAGGTAATGAGGGGCTTCCCAGGTGGCACTAGTGGCAAAGAATCTGCCTGCCAATGAAGGAGACACAGGAGATGTGGGCTCGATCCCTGGTGGGGAAGGTCCCCTGGAGGAGGGCATGGCAACCGGCTCCAGGATTCTTGCCTGGAGAGTCCCATGGACAGAGGAGCCTGGTGGGCCACAGTCCGTGGGGTCGCAGAGAGTCAGGCACGACTGAGTGACTAACACACACGCTATATAATTCAATATTCTTAGGGAATAAGCCAAGTGAACAGACCACAAAACACAGTCCTATCCCTCCCTCAACAAAACCCCTTCCCGCCAACTAGAACAGGCTCAGCTCAGGTGTCCGAGACCCCCCAGTGCTGTCCAATGCACGGCGGGGCAGCCAGCGGGCAGCCGGCTTCCGCCCAGACACTCCGTCCTGCCCCAGGGGCTCTGCCCAGATACTGCGGGAACTCCCGGGGCTGAGGCCGGGGTCTCTGCAGCCTGCAGGTGGCTGCCCTCTGACCATGTAACGGCTCGGGGTGGGGGTCTGGGTATCTCAGCCCATCCTCTGGAGAAGTCTGCCAAAGACCACCAAGGCCCAGAAGTGGGACATTTGCTGGGAACCCTGGGGTCCCTGGGCGTGGGGGGAGCCACAGGGGGCGGGGGCGGGGTGGGGGGGGCAGGGTTTAGGGCGGTGTGATATAAACCGTGATGACCTGGGGTCCCTGGGCGTGGGGGGAGCCACAGTGGGCGGGGGTGGGGTGGGGGGGGCAGGGTTTAGGGCGGTGTGATATAAACCGTGATGACCTGGGGTCCCTGGGCGTGGGGGGAGCCACAGTGGGCGGGGGTGGGGAGGGCGGGGCAGGGTTTAGGGCGGTGTGATATAAACCGTGATGACCTGGGGTCCCTGGGCGTGGGAGGAGCCACAGGGGGCGGGGGCGGGGTGGGGGGTGCAGGGTTTAGGGCGGTGTGATATAAACCGTGATGACCTGGGGTCCCTGGGCGTGGGAGGAGCCACAGGGGGCGGGGGCGGGGTGGGGGGGGCAGGGTTTAGGGCGGTGTGAGATGAAACGTGATGACCTGGGGTCCCTGGGCGTGGGGGGAGCCACAGTGGGCGGGGGTGGGGAGGGGGGGGTGCAGGGTTTAGGGCCGTGTGAGATGAAACGTGATGACCTGGGGTCCCTGGGCGTGGGGGGAGCCACAGTGGGCGGGGGTGGGGAGGGGGGGGTGCAGGGTTTAGGGCCGTGTGAGATGAAACGTGATGACCTGGGGTCCCTGGGCGTGGGGGGAGCCACAGTGGGCGGGGGTGGGGAGGGGGGGTGCAGGGTTTAGGGCCGTGTGAGATGAAACGTGATGACCTGGGGTCCCTGGGCGTGGGAGGAGCCACAGGGGGCGGGGGTGGGGTGGGGGGTGCAGGGTTTAGGGCCGTGTGAGATGAAACGTGATGACCTGGGGTCCCTGGGCGTGGGGGGAGCCACAGTGGGCGGGGGTGGGGTGGGGGGGGCAGGGTTTAGGGCGGTGTGATATAAACCGTGATGACCTGGGGTCCCTGGGCGTGGGAGGAGCCACAGTGGGCGGGGGTGGGGAGGGGGGGGTGCAGGGTTTAGGGCGGTGTGAGATGAAACGTGATGACCTGGGGTCCCTGGGCGTGGGAGGAGCCACAGTGGGCGGGGGTGGGGTGGGGGGGGCAGGGTTTAGGGCGGTGTGATATAAACCGTGATGACCTGGGGTCCCTGGGCGTGGGAGGAGCCACAGTGGGCGGGGGTGGGGTGGGGGGGGCAGGGTTTAGGGCGGTGTGAGATGAAACGTGATGACCTGGGGTCCCTGGGCGTGGGAGGAGCCACAGGGGGCGGGGGCGGGGTGGGGGGGGCAGGGTTTAGGGCGGTGTGAGATGAAACGTGATGACCTGGGGTCCCTGGGCGTGGGGGGAGCCACAGTGGGCGGGGGTGGGGAGGGGGGGGTGCAGGGTTTAGGGCCGTGTGAGATGAAACGTGATGACCTGGGGTCCCTGGGCGTGGGGGGAGCCACAGTGGGCGGGGGTGGGGAGGGGGGGGTGCAGGGTTTAGGGCCGTGTGAGATGAAACGTGATGACCTGGGGTCCCTGGGCGTGGGGGGAGCCACAGTGGGCGGGGGCCGGGTGGGGAGGGGGGTGCAGGGTTTAGGGCGGTGTGAGATGAAACGTGATGACCTGGGGTCCCTGGGCGTGGGAGGAGCCACAGTGGGCGGGGGTGGGGAGGGGGGGGGTGCAGGGTTTAGGGCGGTGTGATATAAACCGTGATGACCTGGGGTCCCTGAGCGTGGGAGGAGCCACAGTGGGCGGGGGCGGGGTGGGGGGGGGTGCAGGGTTTAGGGCCGTGTGAGATGAAACGTGATGACCTGGGGTCCCTGGGCGTGGGAGGAGCCACAGTGGGCGGGGGCGGGGTGGGGGGGGCAGGGTTTAGGGCGGTGTGAGATGAAACGTGATGACCTGGGGTCCCTGGGCGTGGGGGGAGCCACAGTGGGCGGGGGTGGGGAGGGGGGGGTGCAGGGTTTAGGGCCGTGTGAGATGAAACGTGATGACCTGGGGTCCCTGGGCGTGGGAGGAGCCACAGTGGGCGGGGGCGGGGTTTGGGGGGGCAGGGTTTAGGGCGGTGTGAGATGAAACCTGATGACCTGGGGTCCCTGGGCGTGGGAGGAGCCACAGTGGGCGGGGGTGGGGAGGGGGGGTGCAGGGTTTAGGGCCGTGTGAGATGAAACGTGATGACCTGGGGTCCCTGGGCGTGGGAGGAGCCACAGTGGGCGGGGGCGGGGTGGTGTGAGATAAAATGTGAGCCACCAAGGAAACACTTGCCTTTGAGAATCCTGAAATCCTGAAGTGGGTTTATTAACTCTGCCATCAGTCTAATAACTGCTGTGTAATACAGGATTGCAAACAGATATGAACCATCAACCTCAGCCCACAAAGCAAGCAGAAACCCAGGAAACTTGCTTAAAAATACCACTTTCAGTAAGGCCCTAGGGTCAAATGGTTTTGCAGCTGAAATCTACTTAATCACTGGTTATTAATCACCACCATGTCATAGAAAGTAGTAAGAAATGCCAGATTACATGTTTCAAAACAAGTGTAATGCCCACGCCTTAAAAAATAGTACTCTAATTGTGATATCGATGTCAAAAATTCTAAGCGATGGGTTAGCAAATAGAATATGGAACTGCATCGAAAGACTAGACCAATGTAACAATGTAGGGTT